AAGAGCTACCCACATGGCACAGCAGACCTCTCCTGACTCGCTTGCTGCTCCCCTCAGCAGTGTATTTCAGTCAATCTGCCTGTTCTGTTCCCCGCTCTGGACCTGGTAAATCCTGCCATTCCCCACACCTCTGACCTGTACCCCAGCTCTTGTATGCATAAATAAATAAATCTTTTTTAAAAGAAAAAGTAACAGTCTTGATGTTTATTGAAATGAACAATTGATGGAATGGATGAGCAGAGCCCTTGACTTCTTGGCTACACTCTCCTGAATTCTTACCTCTGAAAGATGGAGTGAAAATGGAGACAGGGAGAAAGAGAAATGCTGGCAACCTGCCCTTGAAGAAAAAAAACACCATTAGCCCTTGAGTGGGAGCTGAGCGAATAGGGAGTCTTCTGTTACTGGCTGCATCTGCCGGGAGTGGAGTATGTTATGCTGACTTAGGGTTAGGGGCAGAATTAGAAGGCCATGATTAAAATGCCATGAACATTTGCTGTTTTGACATTTTAGATTCTCTCAAATAAATAGTTCTTCTTGGTGTTTATGTCCTTAGAACAATTTCCAAAGATTTTAAATAGTTGTTTCCAATCATTTTCACCATGTAAGGCTGTTTAACTGGAGAGTAGGCCCACAGAGCTGCTCAGACCTCCATTCTGGAAGTAATTGTAGATTTTACTTGAGGTCCATGATAACTAATAAAATTGACAATTTTCACATCCTCCCTGGCCATTTTCACTCATCAGTACCAGCTTGCGCCCAGATTCTTTCCACATGGTTTTCTGCACTACACTCAGAGGGTCTCTCCCTATAGACTGCATATCCCAGGTTCCCACATACCTGGTTTTTTTTTTTTTCAGACTGGGACATATATCAGTAGTTCTTCCTTTTCCATTAAATATTTCTTTATTTCATGTGTTATTTTTTTCTCTTAAGCCTCCCTTTTCTAACTGATCTTTTAGAGTTCCTCTTTATACTTTTTATTTTTCAAAGATTTATTCTTTTTTTTTTTTTTAAAGATTTATTTATTTATTTGTACAAGCACTGGGTACAGTCAGAAGCGCAGGAGGGTGAGAGAATTCACCAGAGCCAGAGCGGGGAACAGAGCAGGCAGAAGGACCCAAGTACACTGCTGAGGGGAGCAGCGGGCGGCCGGAGAGGTCTGCGCACCATGTGGGACCCTCCTCCGTGGCCGGGGAGCAGCCGGGGATTGAACCGGCGCTGCAGAGGCTGCGGGCAGCTTCGCAACCCAGCGCTCAACCACTGCGCCACCGGGGAGGCCCTATTTTTCAAAGATTTATTTATTTATGCATACAAGAACTGGGGTACAGGCCAAAGGTGCTGGGGGTGAGAGGATTCACCAGAGACAGAGTGGGGAACAGAACAGGCAGATTGACTGAAATACACTGTGGAGGGGAGCATCAGGCAAGTCAGGAGAGGTCTGCTGTGCCATGTGGGTCACCTCCCTGAGGGGGGATCGAACTCGTGCTGCAGTAGCTGCAGATAGATTCATAAGCCCTTGTGCCAACAGGGAGGCCCCAGTTTTTCATATATTTTTAATGCTAATCCTTCATTGTTGGAAATATTTGCTCTCACTTTATGGTGTATCACTTTTTTCCATGACCTCTGTTGATAAACAGTTCTTAAATTCAATCACTAGTCTACTGTTAAAATGTATTTTCTCTTTTTAAAAAAAGATTTATTTTATTTATGCATACAAGGTTCAGGGGTTCAGGCCAGAGGTGTGGGGGGTGAGAGGATTCACCAGAGACAGTGGGGAGCAGAACAGGCAAATCTACTGAAATAAACTGCTGAGGGGAGAGCAGGCGAGTCAGGAGAGGTCTGCTGTACCATGTGGGTAACTCCCTAGCTGGCTGGGGATCGAACTTGTGCTGCAGAGGCTGAGGATAGCTTCATAGGTTGCATCTTAACCCCTTGAGCCACCAGGGAGGCCTCCCCAGGGCCCCCCCAACACATTTTTAATGACAATTTTCCCTTTTCCTCATTGATTTTACGTTTCTGTATATGTACAGAATTTATTTCTAGATTTTCTATTCTGTTCCACTATTATGTTATTTATCTCTGAATTAACATTATGCTACATGTTATATAGTAAAGTTTTATCAGAATTCTTAGCATATGGTAAACTAAGTCCCCTTATCTTGTTCTTCCATAGGTATGTCTGTCATAGAGATATTCTTGATATTTTTATTATTCCACATAAATTTAAAATTAGCTTATCAAGTACCACCAAAACCCATTTGGATTTTGATTAGAATTGTATTGAAGTTAGAGATCAGTGTGGAAGAGAAGAACTGACATCTTTCAGTCTTCCAATCTATTAATATGGCCTATCTCAAGATTTTCTTAAGTCTTTAATATCATTCAGAGAAGTATTAGTATTTTCTCTTAAAGATTTTTCCCATGAGTGCCTCCCTGGTGGTGCAAGGGGTTAGGACGTAAACTTTGGGGCTGTCCGCAGCCACTGCAGCACGAGTTTGATCACCCAGTAGGCCAAGGAGCTACCCACATGGTGCAGCAGACCTTTCCTGTCTCCCCCACTGCTCCCCTCAGCAGTGTTTTCGATCTGTCTGCCTGTTCTGTTCCCCACTCTGTCTCACCCACCCGCGCCTCTGGCCTGTACCACAGTTTTTATATAAATAAAACAAATCTTTTAAAAAAAAAAGAAAGAAGTCCCTCATCTGACATATCGGTCCTCCCTCATTAACAGATTAGATCAAGAAAGTTCCAATATCTCTGGGTGGTTGTGTTGGGAGGATGCCTTAAGCCAGACCTGTAACAGGGACATTCTGCTAGCTGAGATACAATGTGGGTGGAAACCTGGCCTTATTACTCAATCAATTTCTTGGCCTTGAAGAAGAGATGCAGGTAAAAAACCTGCCAGGTGGCTTGTCCAATAAGGCAGAACAATGAAAAGATGCTGAAGTTCAGGTCTGGAGTTGTTTGTTGACTCACTGGTATCACAAATCTTCTTGCCCTTTTCCTGTAGGCAAAATAGTTAATATTAATTATAGATTTTGAAACATCTCCCAGGCATCATAGCTCTGCTACTAAAGGTTTGCACTTCTTAACATTAGTAATCTCTTTGTAATTTTTCACCTACATTCCATGCTTCAGTGTGTAGAATCATGAATTGGTTAGATATCTGCCCTGTTCTCTTGCTTTCAAAACTTGGTATATGCCATAATCTTCAGTAGTAAAGGCAAATTATCTCTTGGTTGCATCCTCCTTAGTGCTCAGAACAGAGTATGGCCATCAGAACCTGTGTTCTTATGGCAGGTGCGCTGGCCTCCAGCATCCTGAAACTGGTCAGTGATAGCTGAGGCACTGGTCCTGAGAGTTAACTAGGAGGTAGAAGTAGGTGGTAAGGACTGAGCTGGGGCCAAGAAGAAGTAAAAGCAGCAAAGTTAATAGGTCAAGAGCCATGCTGGACTGTAGGGATCAGTGCAAGTGGCAAATTCTTTCCTTTAAAATGTCAAGATCCACATTCAATTCAAGTGTAAAAGGTAAAAAAGAGTTAAATGAAAGCATTCCCTCTTAACCCTTTCCCCTTGAGTGCCTACTTTCTTTCCTACATGGTATTATTTTGGGGGTATCTTTCTAAATATATTTTATGTCCATCCAAGGAAACATTATTATGTATTATATATACATATATAAGTATGTATATATAATATATAATGTAATAGATTCTATATAATATATGTGTATACTCCCTCTACACTGCATTTTGAAGATCAGTTCAAATTAATACATAAAGAACTTCCTCTTTTTTTTTTTTGAGGTGGTATAGTTTAGCATGGTACGATTAATTGCATGTACCAAACTTAATTGTTTTGGTTTTGTGACGATTTTTTTCTTGATATGTCTCTGTAAAGATATGAACTTCAAAAAAACTATAACCATAACACATTTAAGAAATTACACAATAATTTCTTAATATCATGACATAGATAATATTTAAATTCTCTCATATCAATTTTTAAAAATTTTAACTATTTGAATCAGATTCTAAATTAGGTAAATAGAGGTTGATATACCTTAAGCCCCCTTTAATCTATAGGTTTTTGTTCTCTCTTGCATTTACTGTGTTAAGAACCCAGGATATGTCCTAAGGTTTCCCACAGTGGAGTAGGGATCTTGCTGATTGCGTTTTCGTGGTGTCGTTTAACATGCTTCTCTCTCCTTTCTATTTTCTACAGAACAGCTGTTGGATGTAGAGAATTGGATCATATTTGGAGCTTTGTAAATGATGGGGATGTGGGGAGTAGAGTGCTTTTATTAGGCGGTGCACAAAGTCTGGTTATCTTCCTTTTTTGTAATCTGTAAAAATTTTTCTTTTTTATGGAGAAGTGGTAACTAATTTTGAAACAAAACCACAGCTACAAGCTTGTGGTTCTGATGACTGCTGTGACAGATGTAGGACAGGGCTTTCCTTCTGTAGTCACACTAGAATAATTCGAGCAAAACAAATTCCCGACCATTCCCCCTCTCAACGACAGAGATTTCTTTTTGCTTAATTAGCTTTTAATTGTCACACACTGTATTTTTCCTACGGTATTATTTCCAGGAAGCAGCCAAAAAGCAAACAAAGAACTTGGCTCAATGAGTAATTTGCTTTTCAAAATTAAACCCGGGCCAGCTGCCATTGACAAACCGCCACAGAACCCGGTGACGAGCTCTGCCGGTTCCGAGGCGTTAGAGCGGCAGCCCGGCCGCCCCACGCCTCTCCTCGCATCTTCTCCTTCCCCCGAGCTCGGCGCGGGCGGCGAGCCAGGCCGGGGCGCAGGGACGGCGGGAGCTCGGCCCCCGGAGGGCTCCGCGTCCCGGGTCGCCCGCAGCGCGCGCGGCCGAGGGCCGCCTCCCGCCCGCGCGGGTCCGGAGCCGTCGGGCTGCGGGCGGCCGGGGGCGGGGCGGGGCGGGGCGGGGCGGGGCCCAGCGCTCCACGCCCCGTCCCCGGCGCTCCGCCCGCCCAGGCCGACCCGGGCCCGAGCCGCCGCGCCGCCGCCGGAGCAGCCGTGTCGGGAGCGGGCCGGTCGCCGTCGCAGCCATGGGGAGCCGCGTCTCGCGGGAGGACTTCGAGTGGGTCTACACCGACCAGCCCCACGCGGATCGGCGCCAGGAGATCTTGGGTGAGGCCGGGCCCTCGCCCCGTTATGTGCGCGCGCGGGCCCGCGGGGCGCGCCTTCCTCGCCGGGCCCGCGCCGGGGCTCCCAGACGCGCTCCCCCGCGCGGCGCCCGGGCCCCCGCGGCGGCCAGCGCGGGCCGAGGCGCGGGCGGCGGCCCCGGCGCGGCGGGCGCGGGCGCGGGCGGGGGCCTCGTGCCGGCCGGGCCCTTCCGCCGAGAGGCGCAGGCGCGTCCCCGGGGCGGGCGGCCGGCGTCGCGTGGAGCGGGCCCGCTAGGCCGCCGAGGGGCGGCGCCTCCCCCGGGGATGCGGCGCCCTCCGTGGCTTCGTCGCCCTCCTCCCCGGCGGGCCCGCGGAGCCGGGCTGCTGCCTGCGAGGCCGGGCGTGGCCCGGGCGCGGGGCCCTGACGCCGGCCGGCCGCCCTGGCCGGGGGGGGGGGGGGGGGGCGCTCCCGACCCGGAGGGCCCGGGGGACCGGCGGGGGCGCTCCAGGACCCGAGTTCTGTGCGCCCTTCACGTTGTCTCCTGGATTCCCACCGCGGCTGCGTCGCGAGAAGGCCGGGTTCGTGAGTGTTTTTGCCCATCCCAGGCCTGCGGATGGGAAGGCTGAAACGGGGGGACACTTGCCAAGATGAGCCCGCCGGCCCTACGCCGCTCGCCGCTGGCCCTTCCGCCGGGCTGAGCAGGCCTTGCTCGGCTCCCCACAGTGGGCGGCGCGCGCCGCTGCCCGAGGCCGCTTATTCACGGGAGAAGTCACTTCGCTTGCCCGCGCTCAGGTGGCTCCCGGTGACAGGCGAGGCTCCGGGTCTCGTGCTTCGCAAACCCGTGTGTCCTCTGCTCCCACTCTTCAGGCCTAGGCAGCCACTGTGGGTGTCTGTAGATTTGCCGATTCTGGACATTTCTTATAAATCATATCGTACTTGGTCCTCTGTGATTTCCTCTAGTTGATATAGGGGTTTCAAAGTTCATCCGTGTTGTAGCACGTATTAGCAGGTCATTCTTCCTCATCCTGAATCACTTAACATTTATGGCCATACGGCATTTTCTTTCTCCAAGTATCAGTTGGTAGACTTGGATAATGCTGTGAACATTTATATGCAAGTTACAGTATGGATGGGTATGTATTTTCATTTCTCTTGGGTAGCTACCTCGGAGTAGTTTTTCAAGACCATCTTTAGATGCACCCAGAGTCTTGTGAGCTGTGTATGCGGCCTCCAGTTTCCCACATCCTTGTTATTGCCTGTCTCTTTCATTATCGTCATCCTAGTGGTTGTGAAGTAATACCTTATTGTGGTTTCAGTTTGCATTTTCCTAATGACTAATACTGGTGAACATCTTTTACGAGTTTATGGGCCATTTGAATATTTGCTTTGGAGAAATGTCCATTTAGATTCCTTGCTTGTTTTAAAACTGGATTATTTTTAAGAGTTCTTTATTTAATCTGGGCATAAGTCACTTATAAGTCATATGATCTGCAAGTGTTTCCTTCCATCCTTGGGTTGTCCACTTCCTTGGTATCGTTTGGACACAAAAGTGTGTGATGCAGTACAATTTATCCGTCACTTGTGCTTCTCATATAATATCTAAGAAACAGTTGATTCTGTTTTCTTTATAAGTTTTTTTTTTAAGATTTATTTATTTATACAAGCACTGGGAAACAGTTGATTCTGTTTTCTTTATAAGTTTTTTTTTTTTTTTTTTAAGATTTATTTATTTATTTATACAAGCACTGGGTATAGTCAGAAGCGCAGGAGGGTGAGAGAATTCACCAGAGCCAGAGCGGGGAGCAGAGCAGGCAGAAGGACTGAAGTACACTGCTGAGGGGAGCAGCGGGTGGCAGGAGAGGTCTGTGCGCCATGTGGGACCCTCCTCCAGTGGCCAGGGAGCAGCCGGGGGTTGAACTGGCCCTGCAGAGGCTGCAGGCAGCTTCGCAACGCGGCGCTCAACCACTGCACCACCGGAGAGGCCCTCTTTGTAAGTTTTTAATAGATTTGTAGTATTTATGTCCATGATCCATTTCAAGTTAATTTTTTTGTGTATGGAATAAAGAAGAGATCTACTTCATTCTTTATCATGTGGGTATCTGCTTCCAGCACAATATGCTGTGTTAACTGAAATGAAAGCCTCAATAATAGACAAAGAGTTTCTTAGATAATCACAGTGAGGATTCGAACCCAAGAAGCACTCCCAAGAAAGTCTTACTCTTTGAGAACTTTCAACAATCACAACTTGGAGTTTAGTTTATTTAGATAAGAGGCTAATTTATTGACCTCAAAAAATGTAATTATTCTTGACAAGCAATGGGTGGGGCTTCTGGTTTTCATCTATAGGCTTAGATCTTCCAATTCCTACATTATCTTAAAGATTTGCTGATGCCTATCTATTGGCAGCAGAGGGCAAAACCTGGGACTTAATCATCTGTCTGATTTCTAAAGAATGCTCTGTGGAGACTAAAGGCTGGGTACCCATTGTTTAAATCTTCTTTATCAGGCCCTTGGTTAGTGGGGTTGAAAGGCTGGATTACCCTCAGGCAGCAGATTTTTGCATAGGCTACATCTTAGAACAAGACAGAACCTGTTCTTATTTCAAATTCTTGCCTGGCTAAGGTACACGTGTGGGTGTGTGGGTGTGTGTCGGGGAGGAGGTGATCCCAGAACTTTTTGAATGTGTTCACAATTCATAGGACTGTCTTTCACCACTTAATTATATTAACACCTTATATTATTGGTTTTTATGTATTATTACAGTTTTGCAGAAATTTAGTACAAAATTTTGCTTGGAGCAAGTTGATTTGTCTGAGAGAACTTTGCATAGGTTTCAAGATCTTAAGAGTACCAACAAAATGTAGATTATTGCCTATCCTTTGTTAAATATATTAGTTTAATCAGGTTTTCTATAAGGTAAAAATGCTGGAGCTTTGTCTAAACTGAAATAACTCATATTAATACAAAGAATTATTGCTTAACCAAGAAACTGAAGGGTTGTTATTCTATTATAGACTAATTTCCGGGCCTGTAGGATTACTCTTTGTGGTCTGTTGCCTATAAAAATTACTAACATTTGATAAACTAACACCAACAAAAGAGTAGATTTTAAGGAATAGAAAAGTAGAAGGGAAAGAAACTAGGAGAATTACTTACCTTCAGCTAACACTACTTATTTCTTAAATAGCTTCCTGTCTTGCATATTAAGGTTGTATTGAATTCTTCATTTCACAATTAAAGAAAATACTGCTCCTCTTTTCCCTATTTTATCTTCAAAAACATTTTCAATGTCCTAAGAAAAAGGTTATTCCTTTGTGGTCCTGGGTCAAACATACTTAATAGCACATAAAACTAAAGATTTTTTTTATTTAAATATTTTATTTTATATAATTCTTACATCTTTTTTCATCTTTGCACAATGTATGCATTTTCATTTTGGTTATATTCCCCATACAATTGCACCCCCCCTTATTTTGACCCTAGTCCTTCCTTTCCCCACTCCTCCCTCCCTCCACCCCCACTCCCCCCCACCGCCCCCCAGCCCCCATAGTGTGTCTCTGGTTTATAGTTGCTTGTTGATTTTGATTTTTACTTTGTATTGATTAGTCTTTTTCCTGGTCTCTTATTTAGGTTTTCTAAATTACTGCTATAAGTGAGACCATCCGGTATTTTTCTTTTTCTTTCTGACTTACTTTGCTGAGCATGATTCCTTCTAGCTCCATCCATGTTGCTGCAAACTGCATGTATTTATCTTTTGATTGCTGAGTAATATTCCATGGTGTATATGTACCACATCTTCTTGATCCAGTCATCTATTTTTGGGCATTTGGGTTGCTTCCATAGCTTAGCTATTGTAAACAGTGCTGCTATAAACATAGGGGTGCAGGTGCCCTTTGGAATTACTGTTTCTGTGTCCTTTGGGTAAATACCTAGGAGTGGAATTGCTGGATCATATGGAAGCTCTATGTTTAGTAGGTCAAGAAATCTCCACACAGCTCTCCATAGTGGCTGGACCAGTTTGCCCTCCCACCAGCAGTGCAGGAGAGTTCCTTTTTCTCCACAACCTCGCCAACATTTGTTGTTGCTAGTTTTTTTAATATGTGCCATTCTCACTGGTGTGAGATGGTATCTCACTGTTGTTTTGATTTGCATTTCCCTGATTACAAGTGATGTTGAACATTTTTTCATATGCCTGTTGGCCATTTGCATTTCCTCTTTGGAGAAGTTTCTTTTTAGCTCTTCTGCCCATTTTTGGACTGGATTATTTTCTTTATTTTTTATTTTTTTATAGAGGCATGTTTTATTTGTTTGTTTGTTTGTTTTGTTTTGTTTGTTTTGTTTTGTTTATACATGCACTGGGTACAGTCAGAAGCATGGGAGGGCGAGAGAATTCACCAGAGCCGGAGCGAGGAGCAGAGCAGGCAGAAGGACCGAAGCACACTGCTGAGGGGAGCATCGGGCGGCAGGAGAGGTCTGTGCGCCATGTGGGACCCTCCTCCGGTGGCCGGGGAGCAGCTGGGGATCGAACCGGCGCCGCAGAGGCTGCGGGCAGCTTCGCAACCCAACGTTCAACCGCTGCGCCACCAGGGAGGCCCTGGACTGGATTATTTTCTTTGTTTTTGTTGAGTCTCATCAGCTCTTTGTAGATTTTTGTGGTCAGTCCTTTATCGTTAATGTTGTGTGCAAAAATGTTCTCCCAGTCGGTGGGGTTTTTCTTTGTTTTGGTTATTGTCTCTTCTGCTGTGCAGAAGCTCTTTAATTTGATGTAGTCCCAGCTGTTTATCTTTGCCTTCACTATCACTGCTTTGGGTGATGTGTCTGTAAAGATGTCTTTGAGATGCATGTCATGTAGTGTTTCGCCTATATTTCCTTCTATGTATTTTATGGTTTCAGGTCTTATGTCTAGTTCTTTAATCCATTTTGAGTTGTTTTTTGTGCATGGGGTGGGGTAGTAGTCAAGTTTCATTCTTTTGCATGTAGTGACCTAGTTTTCCCAGCACCATTTATTGAACAAATTTTCTTTGCTCCAGTGCATATTCTTTGCTCCTTTATCAAAGATTAGTTGACCATAAATCTGTTGGTTTATTTCTGGATTTTCTATTCGGTTCCATTGGTCTGTGTGTCTGTTCTTGTTCCAATACCATGCGGTTTTGATGGTTATGGCTTTGTAGTATAGTTTAAAGTCTGGGAGTGTGATGCCTCCATTCCCTTCTCTTTTTTTTTTTTTTTTTTTTTTTTTTTCAGAAGAGCTTTGGCTGTTTGGGGTTTTTGGTGATTCCATATGAATTTCATCAATAATTTTTCTATTTCTTTGAAGAATGTCATTGAAATTTTTATTGGAATAGCATTGAATCTGTATATTGCTTTTGGTAGGATGGCCATTTTAATAATGTTAATTCTTCCGATCCCTGAGCAGGGGATTTCTTTCCATTTCTTTGTGTCTTCTATTTATTTTAACAGTGTTTTATAGTTTTCTTTGCATAGGTCCTTTACCTCTTTTGTTAGAGTTATTCCCAAGTATTTGATTTTTTTTTTTGTTTCAATAATAAAAGGGATGGTTTTTTTAATTTCTTCTTCAGATTTATTTTTTGTGTGTAGGAAGGCTACTGATTTTTGTGTGTTGATTTTGTATCCTGCCACTTTACTAAACAGATTGATTAGTTGAATTATTTTTTCTGTGGAGTTTTTGGGGTTCTCTATGTATATTATCATATCATCTGCAAATAGTGATAGTTTAACTTCTTCTTTTCCTATTTGGATTCCTTGTATGTCTTTCTCTTGTCTTATTGCTCTGGCTAGGACTTCCAGTATTATATTGAAAAGCTTGGGCCTCCCCAGTGGCGCAGCAGTTGAGCGCTGGGTTGCGAAGCTACCCGCAGCCTCTGCAGCCCGGTTCTATCCCCAGCTGCTCCCCTGCCACCAGTGAGGGTCCCACATGGCGTGCAGACCTCTCCTGCCGCCCACTGCTCCCCACAGCAGTGTACTTCGTCACTCTCTTTGTTCTACTCTCCGCTCTGGCTCTGGTGAATTCTCTCACCCTCCCGTACCTCTGACTGTACCCAGTGCTTGTATAAATAAATTTAAAAAATCTTTTTAAAAAAAGAAAAGCAGTGGTGAGAGTGGACATCCTTGTCTTGTTCCAGATCTTAATGGAAATGCTTTCAGCTTTTATCATGAATGGGTGTTGTACTTTGTCGAAAGCTTTCTCAGCATCTATTGATATTATCATATGTTTTTTTTATTTCTTTTTGTTGATGTGTTGGATGACATTGATTGATTTTCAGATGTTGAACCATCCTTGTGTCCCTGGAATGAATTCTACTTGGTCGTGGTGAATTATCTTATGGATGCATTGTTGGATTCTGATAGCTAAAATTTCATTGAGGATTTTTACATCAGTGTTCATTAGAGAGATTGGCCTGTAAAAACTAAAGATTTTTGTTACATTTGACTTTCAGTCTCTGGGATGGTAGACTAAGAGGAGACTGCATTTGCTCTTAGGGACATTTTCCTAAAATGCAGCTTTTGTTACTGACTTTTTTCATAATACTTGGATACTTTCATGGAGATTGACCAGGACTCTCACAAATTCACACTGTATAATTCTAATAAATCAATAGGAAAAGTGACATTGTAAATTGATAGCACACTTTGGAAATTATCTTATTTCCAGATAACTAGAAAAGTCTATACTGGCAAAAATTTTAGATATCTAAATGTCTAATAATAGAGAAATGGTTAAAAATTATGACTGACAACTAGAAGTGATTTAATCATTAGTAGCAAGGAAATTGTGAAATATAAGTATATAATTATATTTAACTCCATATATATATAAAACATATTGCATATATGTTATATATTCTACATGGTAGTATATTACAATATGTATATAGGAAAAAATATAATATATTTTGTCAGATACATAGAATGGATTTACTAGACAATGATCATGACTTTGTAGCACCTGTTCATTTAATATGCAAGGAATTGTTAGGGGTGAAAAGGGAATTGGATAACATAAAAGCTTTAATCCTTTGTATTTTTGTGTAATGTTTTATTTTTCCTGCATAAATTCTCAATTTGTTGTAACATGATATTTAGTAAATTTACTGTTAGAATATACTACTCTTTCCCTATGATATATAATATTCATTAAAGTCTCTAATACAGTGTATACTGATTTGGGAAGTTTTTAAAAATTACTGTGAATATTTTCATTTACTTGGTGTTATTATAAATTTGGTTTAATTATAATTGTGGCATTATGTATTTTTCTCAGTTCTTGATTTTTTTATTTGTTTTTTCTTTACAGCAAAGTATCCAGAGATAAAATCCTTGATGAAACCTGATCCCAACTTGATATGGATTATAATTATGATGGTTCTTACCCAGTTGGTTGCCTTTTATTTAGTAAAAGACTTGGACTGGAAATGGGTCATATTTTGGGCATATGCCTTTGGCAGCTGCATTAACCACTCCATGACTCTGGCTATCCATGAAGTTTCCCACAATAGTGCCTTTGGCCACTGCAAAGCTATGTGGAATCGTTGGTTTGGAATATTTGCTAATCTTCCTATTGGTGTTCCATATTCAATTTCCTTTAAGAGATATCACATGGACCATCATCGATACCTTGGTAGTGATGGCATTGATGTGGATATTCCAACTGATTTTGAAGGCTGGTTCTTCTGTACCACTTTCAGAAAGTTTATGTGGGTTATTCTTCAGCCTCTTTTTTACGCTTTTCGACCTCTGTTCATCAACCCCAAGCCAATTTCTAACCTGGAAATTATCAATACTGTGATCCAGATCACTTTTGACATTATAGTTTATTATGTCTGGGGGATTAAATCCTTAGTATACATGTTGTCAGCATCCTTACTTGGTCTAGGTTTGCACCCGATTTCTGGACATTTTATAGCTGAACATTACATGTTCTTAAAGGGATATGAAACTTACTCATATTATGGGCCTTTGAATTTACTTACCTTCAATGTGGGTTACCATAACGAACACCATGACTTCCCTAACATTCCTGGAAAAAGTCTTCCACTGGTAAGTAAAGATGTAAAGCTTCTCATTGCTTATGCTTATATGATCAAATAGTCCTGACTTGCTCATTTTAAAAGATACCTTGTTTATTTTGTCTATCATCAAAGAAAACCACAAGAGTATAAATTGAGTCTGCCAGCCTTATTTTACAGACTGCTCTCTCTTGGATGCTCAGAATAGTGGTAACACTTAAGGTTTAGAAGTATTGACAGTGGGCCTCCCTGGTGGCACAGAGGGTTAAGACACAACCTGTGAAGCTATCCTATGAAGCTGTCCACAGCCACTGCAGCACAAGTTTGATCCCCTGGCAGTGAGATACCCACATGGCGCAGCAGACCTCTCCTGATTCACCCGCTGCTCCCCTCAACAGTGTATATCAGTCATTCTGTTCCCCACTGTGTCTCTGGTGAATCCTCTCACCCCATACACCTCTGGCCTGTACCCCAGTTCTTGTATTCATAAATATATAAATCTTTTTTTTTTCTTTTTTTTTTTTTCTTTTTTTTTTAAGATTTATTTATTTATTTATACAAGCACTGGGTACAGTCAGAAGCGCGGGAGGGTGAGAGAATTCACCAGAGCCAGAGCAGGGAACAGAGCAGGCAGAAGGACCGAAGTACACTGCTGAGGGGAGCAGCGGGCGGCAGGAGAGGTCTGCGCACCATGTGGGACACTCCTCCGGTGGCCAGGGAGCAGCCGGGGATCGAACCGGCGCTGCAGAGGCTGCGGGCAGCTTCGCAACCCAGCGCTCAACCGCTGCGCCACCGGGGAGGCCCTATAAATCTTTTTGTTTAAAAAAATAGAAGAAGTATTGGCAGAGCTGCAAAATCTGCTAACTTGTAATTCAAAGGGAAAATGAAATTCCTCTGTGAGGCAAGCAGAAGTTCACATAACCTTCATCACTATTAAACTAAATAGACTCACCCAAGATTTATGTGTTAGATTTATATGTTGGTTTGTTGTGAATACAGATGTCCTACATAACTCATCTGCAGAATAAATACACATCAATTTCCAGTACTCCAAACTTCCCACAGCAGGAAACTTAGGTTTCTCTATGCAGTAGACTTTTGGAGCATTGTTTGTGGAGTAAAGAAGACATTTGACCTTCATCCTTTCATCCTCTCCAAAATGACCACTTTTCCTAACTTTAATTGTCTTTCTGGTGAAATCTCTTACTAAACTTCCCATTTTCAAAATGGGTAGCTTTTGAGTTCCATTATCAAAAAATATTGCCAGAATTCTAAAAATGTAATCTGTATGAAATGTAATATTTATTTTTCTTATTTTTTTTAAGCTAATGTATAAGAAACCATAGCCAGTTATTTGATGCTGTCATGTCCACCCACTTTTATAGGTTTCTTAAGTTTTTTAAATGTTGGCTGTTTAAAAACTAACAAGTGCCATGACACCTCAGTATAATATTTGATTACCAATTGGCTTTCAAACTGAGGAAAGGAAAATTTAGAAAGGACATTGGGTCACTGGGAAAACTGCATCTGGATAATATTGTGTCAATATTTACTTTGGGGGTGCAATGAGACCTATACAGGTGTTAGGGTTTTATGGGAGAATGTCATTGTACCGGGAGGTACACATTAAATATTCAGGGGTGAAGCACTAGGGCAGGTTGTCACATATTGTGTGCAGCTTACTCTGAAAAGGTTCATCAAAGAAAGCAGAGTATGTACCGTGTATGTTGAGTAGGAGAGGAGGTGACTGGCATAGTGTTAATAGGTGGTGGGCCTGTGCAGAGGGCACCTCTGTGTTCATCTCACTACTCTTTCATCTTTCTTGTAGGTTGTACATTTTTTTAAATGTCTGGGCAAAAATACCACACTATTGTCCAAAGATACTTTGCAACTGTTGTAATGGGATGTAGTGCATCTACATGTGTGGTTCTGCCCAGGTGCCCTTCTGAATAGTGTGTGGCCTCTTCCCTGACTAGGGAAGTGAAGTTTCATTTGTTTAAGGTTATAGTTTACAGAGGAAAGCTGGTCTGCTTTTTTTTTTTTTTTTTTTAAGTTTTATTTATTTATACATGCATACATACATACAAGTACTGGGTACAGTCAGAAGAGCGGGAGGGTGAGAGAATTCACCAGAGCCAGGGGGAGAGCAGAGAGCAGGCAGACTGACGAAGTACACTGCTGAGGGGAGCAGTGGGCAGCAGGAGAGGTTTGTGCGCCATGTGGGACCCTCGCCTGGAGGCTGGGGATAGAACCGGTGCTGCAGAGGCTTACAGGCAGCTTCACAACCCAGCGCTCAACCGCTGCGCCACCGGGGAGGCCCTGGTCTGCTTTTGAACAACAGAAACATTTCTTTTTTTTTTTTAATGCATTTTTTTTTTTTTTAAGATTTATTTATTTATTTATACAAGCACTGGGTATAGTCAGAAGCGCGGGAGGGGTGAGAGGATTCACCAGAGCGGGGAGCAGAACAGGAAGAAGGACCGAAGTACACTGCTGAGGGGAGCAGCGGGCGTCGCAGGAGAGGTCTGCACGCCATGTGGGACCCTCGCTGGTGGCCGGGGGTGGAACCGGTGCTACAGAGGCTGCGGCCAGCTTTGCAACCCAACGCTCAACCTCTGCGCCACTGGGGAGGCCCAACAGTAACATTTCAAACATAAACCGTATTCTTTGACTTTTAATTTTCTTGCTTAGCTCCTGTGCAGAAAATTTAGTTCAGTTCAAACATTGACTTAAGGCCCATGATTCATTTCTAATTTCGTTTAATGCTGTCTTGCTCCTAAGCTAAACTAGCAGACATCCTCAATGTTCTCTAGTCTCCCCTCCCTGCTTTTTCTGTGATGTATATCCAGGACTGTCTAGCCCTTAACAAATGTCTGTTATTAAGATGGTGTTTTTTTACTCTAGCTGTTACAATTCACTGATTGCTACTGGCAGGCATAAATTCAGTGTGGATAGGTTTAATCTGCTTTTTTTTTTTTTTTTTTTGTTCTTGGAGAAATTACAATACTGAGGGTTTTTTTTTTTTAATTTATTTATTTGTTTGTTTTGCTTGTTTATACAAGCACTGAGTAGAGTCAGAAGCGCGGGAGGGTGAGCGAATTCACCAGAGCCAGAGCGGGGAGCAGAGCAGGCAGAAGGACCGAAGTACACTGCTGAGGGGAGCAGCAGGCGGCAGGAAAGGTCTACGCGCCATGCGGGACCCTCCTCCGGTGGCCGGGGAGCAGCCGGAGATTTAACTGGCGCTGCAGAGGCTGCGGGCAGCTTCGCAACCCAGAGCTCAACCGCTGCGCCAAAGGGGAGGCCCTTAATCTGCTTCTTCACAAGCAGAAACTATCATTACATTTCCCAAATTAAACTTTAATTTTCTTTTCTTTTTCTTGTTAACTCTTCACCATTTGGATTCTGCTTGTTTGCTTTCCTTTGGGCTCTAGTAGAGTAGATATTATGCATTTTGGTGAAATGGCAGAACTGTTAACTACTCATAACTAATTAGTCTTGCTTTTTTAAAAAAGATTTATTTATTTATGCATACAAGAGCTAGGGTTCAGGCCAGAGGTGTGGGGTGGGTGAGGGGATTCACCAGAGACAGAGTGGGGAGCAGAACAGTCGGAGCTACTTAAATTAAATACACTGCTGAGGGGAGCAGCAGGCGAGACAGGAGAAGTCTGCTGTGCCATGTGGGTAGCTCTCTAGCTGGGGATCAAATTCACGCTGCAATGGTGCAGTGGCTAGTGATAGCTTCATAGTGCTGCGACTTAACCCCTTGTGCCACCGGGGAGCCCTATTCTTGCTTTTTAATTAGCTCGGCAGTAGTCATTTTTAAAGACATTTTCAACTTGAGATGGCAGAATTGCATACTTCATGCTAGTATCCCCAGGTTCATTAACCATGGGAGTTAATGTTAGCTTTATATCCTACAGTACTAACCCTGCATAGGTACCTTAAATATATAAATCTGATGGTTTTGCACGTATATGTTGTTAAAATCCCAAGTGACAGATTTTACAAATAAGTCAAGTATATTTAACTATGGAGATGCAAACTACTTTTTGTTTAAAATTCCCAAAGCTGGGGCCTCCCCGGTGGCGCAGCGGTTGAGCACTGGGTTGCGAAGCTGCCCGCAGCCTCTGTGGCGCAGGTTCGATCCCCGGCTGCTCCCCAGCCACCGGAGGAGGGTCCCACATGGTGTGCAGACCTCTCCTGCCGCCCGCTGCTCCCCTCAGCAGTGTACTTCAGTTCTTCTGCCTGCTCTGCTCCCCGCTCTGGCTCTGGTGAATTCTCTCACCCTCCCGCGTTTCTGACTGTACCCAGTGCTTGTATAAACAAACAAACAAACAAATAAATAAATAAAATACGTGCCTCTTTAAAAAAAAAAATTAAAAAAAAAATACATTTATAAAAAAAAATAATAATAAAATAAAATTCCCAATGCTGCTGAGTTTGAGTTTTGTTTCATTTTGAGAGGGAGTAAGGAGAAAAGTCTCAATGATTTCCTTTCTGTGTTTGTGTCAAACATTTATCTGTCATCTTTAATAGGACTCAGTTAATACCCATTATTCATTTTGGTGTGTATTTCCTTTCTAGGTGAGGAAAATAGCAGCTGAGTACTATGACAACCTCCCCCACTACAATTCCTGGATAAGAGTACTGTATGATTTTGTGATGGATGACACATTAAGTCCTTACTCGAGAATGAAGAGGCCCCAAAAAGGGAAGATGGTACTGGAGTAAATGTCATTATAACCAAAGGAATTTTTCATTATCAAACCAAGAACAGTGATGTTTAGACGCCACTCTGACACAATTTCTCAAAAAGTGTGGTCACTATGGTATCTTGTTAAGAAGCTAACCTGGCTTTTAACAGCTTGTCTGTGCTGTGTTGAGCTTTACTAGCAGGAAGCTTATTGGTTGTATTATCATTGTTAAGGATGTTTTCACTCATGTCTGACATTTTGTAAGCATTTTATTAAAAAGCTTTTAAACAGTGATTTATTGTATATTATTTTCACTATAAAGTTTTGCTTTATTATAACAGCTAATAAACTGAGCTATTAATCATAATCGTGTTTATCACACTTGTGTTCTACTGTCTTTATGATAGTCTGGGTTCTTGAAAAAATTTCACCCAAGAAATGGTGGAGGTGGGGACTGAAACTATTTTACTGCAAACTGAATTATGCATTTTAATTTTTACTGTTGTATGTAGGGCTTAAATTAGACAATGCTGCGTCCTGCATAGCCTTATTCATAAAGTGCTTCTAATTTAATCACATCCAGCACTCAACTTCCTTTTTTAGATGCATTAAATATCGAATTAGAAGTGCTCAGCCCATATGTTATTTCATTGCAGTGGAAACTGGTGTGGCCCGATGATAGTTGATACCCAAGTAACTGGAACCATGGTCTCTTGGACTGGTCATCCTGGTTATCTGAAGTGTGTCACTTCAGGTTATATGGTGAATGTTTAAAAAATGTAAGTGGTATCAAAAACCATCTACGATTTGTACATAACACCAATCCTTAGGCATCCTTAAGTGTTAATAAATTCCTGTTTTGATAATCATGTTACAGTTTTTATCTACTTTAAGAGCAGAAGTCTCCTCAGAATGATCAGGTACCTGTATTACAGACACTGTCATTCCCAAGGACTTTGCTTTCCCTCCCTGCTCTTACCAAGGAAAATGTCTACTATCTTTAAACTGGTATAAAGGACCACTGTTAAAGAACCATCAATGTAAAGTTTAGAGGGATAGTAGAAACCAACTTTGTAACTTAAACATACTTGGTCAGTCACCAAAAATAGCATCTGTGAGACACCTGTGGACTTGATTCTTGATATTAAGATGGTGTCTTAATACCTTGCCTATGGAACTCCAATTAGTGACTACATCTGCCATGTAAATGCTGAAAACTTCCAACTCTTTCAGTTCAGTTCTCTCAGTTCCAAATCCTGCTGGAGACTAGACGACAGTCTCCTTCCCAGACCTGGTTACCTTATCACTGCCTGCCTGGATAGGTTTCAGCCTCCTGTAGGTCTCCTAGCCAGTCTCACTTCTGGCTGGCCATAGTTCATCATTTCAGTCCCTGCTGTGACAGCCGGAGAGGGCCCTGTGGTAGTTTGCATCAGCAGAAGGTTGGGCTTCAGAACCCTAACTATGGAGATGCAAACTACTTTTTGTTTAAAATTCCCAAAGCTGGGGCCTCCCCGGTGGCGCAGCGGTTGAGCACTGGGTTGCGAAGCTGCCCGCAGCCTCTGCAGCACCGGTTCTATCCCCGGCTGCTCCCCGGCCACTGGAGGAGGGTCCCACATGGCCGCCCGCTGCTCCCCTCAGCAGTGTACTTCGGTCCTGCCTGCTCTGCTCCCCGCTCTGGCTCTGGTGAATTCTCTCACCCTCCCGCGCTTCTGACTGTACCCAGTGCATGTATAAACAAAACAAACAAACAAATAAATAAATAAAACATGCCTCTATTAAAAAAAAAAAAAACAAAAAACAGGAAAGTCAGGATGTGGCTGGAACAGGTGGAGAGCAGGTGTCAACACTGTCCCGGTCAATGGATGATCATTCTCATCATGTTAGCCTGGTGAGGGAGATAGCACTCCCCACACTGTCACTTCAGGAAGTGAAGATTCGAATTGATTAACCAGAGGGAGGGCATGTACAGTGACAGCAAAGTCAAGACCTGAACCCAGGACTGCCAAAGCTGGTGCCCTTTCTGTGCTGCATCTTGCCCAGCTGATCCGGAAACTCTTTGAACAAGGAAATGTGTTATTTCTTCTCTTGTTAGAAAAGTGTTCCGAGAGCCTGAGCCATTTGGATTGGAGCAAGGATGGTCTAACAACCAAGGAGCCAGGAAAGCCCTGAAAAAGCTGTAGCCTCTAATACCCAGAAGCACTAAAGCCTAAGACCCTCTATGTATACTGAACTCTGAGAGGGCTCACGGATGAGTGGGGGCCCTGCAAGGGAGAACAGGGGGCTGATGGCAACAGGGGGCTGAGGGCAACAGAGAGCCATCTGGAGTAGAGGCCTCAAGACTTGAGTAGAACTCAATGTTCCACATGGCTGTGGACACACTGTCTGCATTGGGAAGTCAGCAAACAGGGATGTACTGACAACCCAGGGAGAGTTCCGATTGGGAAAAGGAGCAGGATTTGACAACAGAGGAATAGGCTGATCAACACACTTTTTGGTTGGAAAATTAATGACTTAGAGGAAAAAGAACAGTGGAAAGCAATCTGAAAAAGGACAGTTTGGTTTTTGTTTAATCTGAATTGTCAGCTCATGAAGCTGCTAACTGGACACAACTGATGGGACGCCTCAATGCTGACAATAAGTATCTCTAAGATTACCATTCAGAAGGTAGTTGCTGTTATAGGCATGTGTGGATGGTCAACTGAGAGGAAGACAAGGATCAAGGACTCTGTCCAGGGGGTTCTGTGTAACCATGGCCGCATGGAGAATTTGGCCAGACAATATGCCTTCTTGGATCTGTGACACACACCTAGTATTTCCTTTAGAAGACAACCCAAAGAAATGCTAGTATCTTTTTATAGAGTCAAGTGGATTTTGGGCTTCCAGGTTCAGGGCCCTGTGTTTTGTGACCGTTGGGAAAAGAGTAGAATAGATGCACTGTGAAAAAGGCATGGAGGAATTGAGTTGCCCTGAATGTTGGCTTCTAAATCCATATAAAACAGCAATGCGCTAATCCAAAGAAGCCTCTGTAATCTCTCTCCCATTAGGTCATCATCCCAGGCTGCTTGAACAGGTCCTCAGGAAGAGTCCTGTTAAGACCCAGAGTAAGCCTTCATTAATCGAAAAGCAAAACAGGCAGTCATTTGTCCATATAATGGTTTAGCCCTCAAACCTCCCTTCTATTAAGTAGCTGAAAATTTTCCTGCTGCAAGGGGCTGTCCTGTTCCCTGAAGCGTGATCTCCCATACTAGGCATAGCCACACAAGTAGACTAGCTCTCCCCTCTGGGCTGGGCCTTGAATATGCTGGAAAGTGTTGTTTGCTTTATTAAAAGCACTTTGATGTTCCCTTTCTATTTTTGAGCAGATGTCTGCTTTGGTACTGACAGTAAAACGGCAACAGCCCACCAGACCAGCTTTGGAGACCTGTGTGAGTCGCTTCTTTCTGGCCACAAAGCGCACACTCCCAAGGCCCACCACTGGGACCAGCTGCTTTCTCACTTGCCATACCATCACTGACTCCCCAGGAGGGTCACCATGGTGCAAACCTGTGTGGGCATCCTCAGTCTTCTGCTTCTCAAGGGAAGGCCACTCTAGACCCAGCTAGAACAGATTCCCCGGCCAGAGCCCAAGACATGATCCTAGATCAATCTGCTAACTTCCCCCACTGCACCCCTTGTTGAGGACTCTTTTAGAGTTGAAAAATTGCAGATTCTACATCAAACTCTGCCATTCCTCATTTTTCTGAAAGCAAATTTTTCATCTCCTACTACTTTCTCCAAAATTTTATAATTTTTGAAGTGCAAGAGAATTCACCAAAAAATCAAGTCTGAATGACAAATTCAACCATTCTCTGTAGATTTCTTCTTTCCCTTAAGAGCCCCAGATTCAGCCCAAGGCTGAGGCCCCACCCCCTGGGCCAACCACAAGCCCCTCCTAGGTCTGAAGTTGTTTGACTGTAGCTCTTTATTTCCCGCAGAGGGGTGTGGCACGAGTACCTCTCCTGCGGCAGAGGGAAGGACTAGAGTAATATTTCAAAATCCTCCTAGTCCTTTGGGAACTGTGTTGGCTTTAAGTTAACTGACCTAGAATCCCTACTTCTCTCTTTTATAATCAGAAGATATCTCCACTGGGTGAGGTGCCACCCTGAGCGTTCAGGCCAGGTGGGCCAACCATGGCATCTGCCCCCTGTGTTGTCTCACTTCTTAAAGGATCAGAGACAAGGATGTCATGTATTAGGAAAATGACAGTTCTACTTCAATATAGAATCATTATTTCCTTTTAAGTCACACAACGTAAATCTTGTCCTCATTTCCAGGAGGAGGAAACCTGGAATCAACTTTAGGTAAATTGCCTCAAGTTGACCAACTTGATCTCCAAGTTGGGGCAGAACCAGAACTCAGATTTCAACTAGCTTCCTTCTAAACACAAGCCTTACCACCACACTATGACACCTCCCTTCAATTACTTATCTCTGGAGTCTCTGTGTCTGGTCTCGGATGAGATGAGGACATTTGGGCTACATTGCTGTCCAGTTGAGAATCCTGGGTCTCTGAATGCCCCACCAGGAATGCAGTCATTGGAAGTAACTGTTCTGCAGAGAAGGCTGGGTGCCACCCACTCCCCAGGAGTCTCCACATTCTAGGGAGATGCTAACAACACAAGTAGTTGTTTCTGTGACCAGCTCAGGCTCATGGTTGCAGATCTAGGGAAAATAATGATCTGACTCCAGACCCATTAGACCTGGCTGTTTGCTGAACAAACTAATACAGTAAGCGAGGGTATAGGAAGAACTTCACAGAATTTTATGTTGTTAAGAAGCCAATCTGTAATTGAGGGCTACAGGATGATGGAGCCCAGGGGATGCTTATTCTGAGGGAATCCTAATTGGGGGCTGACATTACTGATAGGGCTCACCCCCATGCCAGGCACTGGGCTCGTTTCTTCATGCATTTTTTAAAAAGATTTATTTATTTATGCATACAAGCTGGGGGCACAGGCAGGTGAGAGGATTCACCATAGAGTAGGGAACAGAACAGGCAGACTGACTGAAATACACTGCTGAGGGGAGCAGTGGGTGAGTCAGGAGGTCTGCTGCGCTATGTGGGTCACCTCCCTGGCCGGGGAGCGAACTCATGCTATAGAGGCTGCTAATTGTCTCATAAGTGCTGTGCTCAATCCCTTGAGCCACCAGGGAGGCCCCTCTTCATGCATTGTTAACCCTCACATTAGTTATCATCCTCATTTTGCAGCCAAAAGAAACAAATGAATAGCAAAGAATAACTTGCCTGAAGTAAAGGTCGAAACTCAAATCAAGTGTCTAAATTCAAAGTCCATGAAGTTCACATTTCTTAACGAGGATTTTGCAGAATATTTTCCTGAATTCAGAGCCCTCTTATAATTAGTCTAACACAAGCAATTTTTCTAAGAATAATATTGTTCTGGGGCCTCCCCTGGTGGCGCAGGCAGTTGAGCGCAGCGCTGTGAAGCTGTCCGCAGCCTTTGCAGCACCAGTTTTATCCCGGCCGGGCAGCGAGTGTCCCACATGGCACAGCAGACCTCTCCTGTTTCGCCGCTGCTCCCCTCAGCAGTGTATTTCAGTCAGTCTGCCTGTTCTGTTCCCTGCTCTGTCTCTGGTGAATCTTCTCACCCTCCTGCACATCTGGCCTGTACCAGGGTTCTTGTGTGCATGAATAAATAAATCTTTAAAAAAAAAAAAGAAGAAGAAGAATATCATTCTGCCAGTCCCAGGAATGTGGGAAGCAGGCCCAGCGATGGCTCTTAACATGGTGGAAATGTGGCCTGTCATGTCCTTAAGCTATTGTGCACTGGGCTGTCCGGAAAGTGCTCGGAAGTC